ATCGTGTTCTATCAGAATTAGGAAAATGAGATCTACACAAATTCAGTGGCTTGCTCCATATCAAGTAGGTAGACAGTATGCGGCTAGGACCGGAATCCAGCTCTTCGCCCCTACTCTGGTGGTCTTCCCACTGTGCGATCATGCACTGAGCACCCACGTCCCTCCAGCACCGGGCCCATGAGGGATACAAAACAAGACATGGCCTCTGTTCTTGGGTAGCTTACTTTTTTGGACCGGTTTCAAGATTTTACAGTAAATACTGGCTTTGCTGATAAACAAACACAAAGCCACACGGCTCAATGAGATTTTTATCAAATATTTTAAATGTATCTGGCAATGTTTGAGAGCGTGGCAGCACACTGCTTTTGAGGCTTCTCTGACTGGGCTGTATCGATCTGCCTTCTTCAGTGGTTGATTGGTCCTAGGGGTGTACTTTCTTGTTTTGAAGAGGCAACTTGACCAAGTTGACAAAAGTCATTGTGGATGTGGATGTGATTATGGCCAGAGTTACACGTTTAAAAAGAAACTAGAGAAGGGTCATAAAGGGAGGAGCTAGATCTTGCTAGAAAGTGAGAGATTGCTCCTTTTGCAAGATACCTAAATAGTACCTTCCAGGTCCTTTATGCTAAGAACAATAAGCTCTGGTCTATGATAGTCCTAATGAAGGAGAAGTCTTTGAAGGAACCCTGTCACAGGTGGGGAAACTGAGATTTTCACCTATCCTACTGTACCAGAAGTGCAATCTGGGCTACCATTTGCCACTCCCAAGTGAATCTCCTGGGCCCACAGACCCTGTGTCAGGAACACAGGCCCTTTCCTCCCGACTACAGCTGACCCAAGATGAGCCTGTAACCCGAGGGTAGCCAATCCAAGGGTTGGCTGGAAACTTGTGTGACCTGGTACAGGAAGAGGAGCTGGGCCAGACCCCCTGCTTCAGAATCTGAAGAACAAAAGAATCAGAGCCACATGGTGTCATGGTACACAGAAACTGGTGGGAACCAGCAAGTACAGAAAAGATAGGGCACAAGAACAGGTTAAACGGAAGCAAAAGATGGCAGGCAAAAAGCTGAGACATCCAGCAATCATGCGCTTCCACAGAGTAGCCCGGACGTGACCGTCTCTCCGGTCAGGCCCGGACACCTTTGGTGATAGCTGTCGTAGTGATGCCTTCTGTGTCCGGCTCCGCGCTAAGGACGTCACACCGGCTTCCTTTCCCGCTGAGACACAGATCTCGTTCTCACTACTTTACAGATAAGGAAACTAGGCTCCTGATGGTTAAGTAACATATGTTACATCTGATGATGCCAGGACCTGAATACAGGTCTGACTCAGAGTCTAGGCCCATGACGCTGTATTCACCCACGTGTGTCCTTAAGTTCAGGTTCTTTGCACTCCCCAATCCTCCTCCTCCACTGCCCAGCAGTTTGACCTCACTTGAGGTCCTTTTGCTGCTAAGTCTGACACCCAGTCTAAGACTGTCTTGTGTATAGGCCCTGTGAGAAGTGAGTGCTTCCTTTGTAGGGTGAACAGAACAGGGTCGAGGCGTCCACCGAACACACAGAAAAAACAAATCTGATGACAAAGAGTTCCTCATCTGTAAGCCATCTGGGGGAAAGACTGGCTTTTACTCATTGCTGAGCAGCCCTCAGACAGCTCTTTGTTGTCTAGGAAGCTGCGATATGGGGTGATAGGTGGGGAGAAGGACTGGGGTATCCTGACTCTCCTCAGAGAAAACCGTGAGCAGAAACCGGGTGTTCCATCCCATTTGGAATGGATAAAGGAACTGAGACAGTGAACATTTGTTATTCCCCAATAAGCCGTAGGGTCTGATCCTGGTTGAGATAGGCATGGTCACCCAAGTCTCTCCAAAATGCTCCAAAAAGAAGCCCCGCAGAATCTCCCCCCACCGGAACTTTGCAGTCCTAATGATGAGAAAGTTACATAAAGCACCGCTCTAGCCAGAGCCCAGCTCTGGTGTTTCCAATATCGAATATCCAGCAAAAAAGATCAGAGACCTCTCACTTTCTAGACAAGCAATCAACTTCATTTATTTTCACATCTGTGGCTGAAACAGAGGCTCATCTAACGGTGACAATGAAAAACTTAGTAAGCAAAGAGTGATCTGGTTACAGTCCACATCTGGGTCTACTCCGATGAGACAGGCCTATTTGTGTGTGACAGACTTCTTAGCCCAGGGGGCAGACTGATGAAGGGCACATTCCTGGGTTCTCCTCTTTCCTGCCTTGTCCTGACAACCAATCCTCAGGTACCTCAACTGCAGTTAAATGCGTGGTTTCTCTCAGGAGCCCTCGATGGACCAAGTTTCTCCACACACTGAAACCTTCCGGTTCGACTTAACTTTTCCACTGAGCGCATTTTATGTATCCACCCTTGAATCTTAAGCAAACAAACTCTAGAGCTGGCCTGGAGTTCTACCTGGTAGAGGATGGGTGCCGGGAAAGGAGACCAGAATGCACAGCTGAAACCCCCTGGTGTGTATGGGGCTGAGGATTAGGAGAACACCTACTTCCATCTTTCTGGCATGGCCCTGCCCATTCTCTTTCACTGAGCTTTGTGGCTCTGGCCTCATTGGTATTTGAACTGTGTTCACAGCCTGCCAAAGTTTGGGTCCCTGCTGGCTACAGTTCCTTGCAGAAAGGACTGTGGGATCCATCTGCAGCATTTTAACCCACAGGTCTCTTTCATTAATAAGCTCTGTGTCATTAAATCTTTGACTTAAAAAAAAAAAAGAATTTCTGATGTTATCTAGACCAATATCACACCTCATGTAGGAATCCCTTTCAAGCACACCCTGGCAAATGTTTAAATGCCTCCAGGAAAGGGAGCTCACCACCTAAAGATAGTACTTTGATACTTCTCCATTTTAATTAGGAGACAAGGTGCAAACCAGAGCTGGGTCTCATACCAAGTGCCTAGTGGGTCAGCAGTGAAGCTGGAACCCTGGTTTTGGGAGCCCCAGAACCCCCACATTTACGCGTGGTATGGGTCCAGATTCTAGCTAGAAAGCTCTTAATCCCAACATGCCAGGGTTCTGTTCGTCAGTTGTCTTGGTTTGTTCTATACTGCGTTTTTTCCATCGCCTTCAGACTATAAATTACGGCAGCAGACTAGGTCTCACACCCATTTCTTAGGTCTCCCATGACCCCTGGTATTGTGAATGTCACAGAGCAGATGTTTCATAAATGCAATCATTCTAAAGAGCATGTTCAGACAGAGCCTTCCCAGGAGCAAAGCTAGCTGGGGTAACACTTTCCTAGTGTGTTTAGCCAGAGCTAGGCTGGGTGAAGCTTGGGCTAGGTGATAAGAAAAAAATGGGTCTCTCCCTTATCATTTCATCAAGAAAGTGTTCTAAGTACTTGCAGACCTTGTTTCCAGGCATCTTGGAAAGATTCAGGGGAAACAGAGTATAGGAATAAACAGCTTTACTGCCCAAGACTTAGGGCCGTCTTTGTTTCCCACCTCCGGCTCCCAGCAAGAGTAAACACAAATCGAGTTCCGTCAAGTTTCAACAAGAAATGTCTCTGCTCTGATTTAGGGGTCTTATGTGGCTTCGCCTGGATAGAAGCCAGAAACAGAGAATTTTGGCAGAAGAAATGTGTCAATGTGTCACAAGTTTTATGATTTTTTTTTTTTTTAATTTCTAGAGGCTCACTTTTTTCCTTTCACCAGCCTCATTTTGCAGATGAAAATTTGCAATTTCTAAAGGGAAAGGGAGTTATGCCCAACTGCGAAGCCACTGAGGAGTAGGACCACGCTCAGACACTCTCCTCTGACCGAATGTCCCCCACAAAAGAACACATGGTAGCCAAGGTCCCTAAAAGCAGAACAAGCAGCAAGAGGCTGTCCTTGTCTGTATGTGGTGCTCAGCGCTCAGGGGATCTACAGAGTTCCTCAATCTGCCCATTGCCAATGGGGAGAGTCAGAAGGGGTGAACATACACTCTGATGGCTCAAAAAAGCTGCATTACAGCACCATCATCTCACAACTGAGGAAATGAAACCTGAGATCCACTGGCACTTTCTGAAGCTCCATACGCTTCCAGAAAGCGCTGTGATCTTTTCTGCTGAGGACTGTCAAGAATACGAGACACCAGGAACGGAAAAATCAGCTTATTAGCTTGGAAATCCAGAAAAATTTGACGTAAATGCCTCCTTCTAAGAAACATGGTTCAGGCACAAATTTTAGGCTGTTCTGAAATTTCTCTGGGCTCTCTAGATTTTAAAGCTAGTGCTGAGAACACTGCTCCCACTTTTTTAACCAGGACCTCGGCAAACGTTCCTAGCAGTTTAAATGCCAGTAAGAGCCTGAATTCTGCAAATCAAACTACTCAAGGAACTGTTCTCCTTAAGAAGCTTTTAAAGTCAAACTTCTTGCTCCCCCAATATTAAACAAAATGGATTAGAAGAATTAATCTAGGAAACCTAGGAAGGCAGTCTTGAGTTACCATTTCGGGAGAGGCAGTACATGAGCACAGGGGCAGACCTTAGCTCATGCCAGGGAGAAGCAGTACCATGGCCCGAGGCCCCAGCACTCTCTTCTAACAACCATCTTACCATCAGGGAATTAATGAGGTTCAATTAAATATCCTCATGCCTCGTGATGGGCTTCCAGTTCTGGAGGCTCTCCCCATGCACCTGTCTCTACCTAGAGCCACAATCACTATCAACTTATCAGCCTGGGATGGATTAATAGGGGCCAAATCTTGCTTTCCAACCTCTCTGCAACCTTCTTATATAACTTCTGCTCAGGTAAAACTTTTGTAAAGATCGGGATGCTGGGCTTCCTTCCAGGTCTTTCTGGGTTTCAAAATGTCGTGTTCTTGTGATGTTACGAAGTTCCAAAATTCCAGCAATGTCTCTAGTCAAGTGTCTAAGATCCCAAATTCATCGCCGGGCCACATGGCGATTACCGCAGCGGGGTGGAGGGGCTCGCAGGCATAGGTAACCAGAGAATGTAGATAACCATGAAAGGAGCGAGGTTTACAAAACCCCCCCTCCGCTCCCTTCCCCATACCACGGACTGGCCTCTAGCCCTTCGGTGTTAACGGCTAGGCCAGAGGTCTCGAGCCCAGGGAGAAGGGGCCCCGGGGGGTCAGGCGGCTGTCCGGATGGGTCACCATCGCCCCCGCAGCCTCCACTGTGGCCCGACCGCAGGTGGTCCTTGAGCGTCTGCTTGTAGCGGAAGCTTCGGCCGCAGTAGGCGCAGGGGTAGGGCCGCTCGCCCGTGTGGATGCGCTGGTGCTTCATGAGGTGGTGCTTGCGAATGAAGCTCTTGCCGCAGTGCGCGCAGCTGAACGGCCGCTCGCCCGTGTGCAGCCGCCGGTGGTTGAGCAGGTGCTCCTTGCGCATGAAGCTCTTACTGCAGTCAGTGCACGGGTACGGGCGCTCGCCCGTGTGGATCATCTGGTGGCGAATCAGGGCCGAGTGGCCATTGAAGTCAATGCCGCACTGGGGGCAGGAGAAAGGCCGCTCCTGCGCGTGCCCCCGCTGGTGGAGCAGGAGGCTGATTTTCAGGCTGAAGCTGCGGCCGCACTGTGCGCAGCGGAAGGGCCTCTCGCTCGCGTGAGCCCGCCGGTGGCTGGTGAGTCGGGCCTGGTCGGCGAAGCGCTTGGGGCAGTCGGGGCAGGGGAAGGGGCGCTCGGTGCTGTTGTGGACCCGGAGGTGGTAGGTGAGTCTTGACGGGTGCGTGAAAGTTCTGGCGCAGTGTGGGCAGGTGGGGGGTGTCTCGCTAGCATGGGGCTGGGAGCTGCTGCTGAGGTCGGCCTGCTGGGGAAAGTGCTTCGGGCACTGGGCACAGGATAAGGGGGGCTCACCTGTGTGGCTACACTGGTGGGTCAGCAACATGTCTTGGCTGAGGCTCTTGCCACAGTGGTGGCATGAGAAGATCTGCTCCCCGGCTGGAGGTGGCAGGGGGTAGCTGCCCAACTGAGTAAAAGTCACTTGGCCCTCAGAGGCTTCGGCCAGGTCAGTGGCTGAACGTCCAAAAGGCGCCATGGATGCGGACGGCTGGCTTTTGAAAGCCACATCTGAAAAAGTATCCTTTGCCGCTGGTGGTGGAGAAGAGAAGGTGACTGGAACCTCTGGGCACAAAGAGGCTCTGGCGAGGCTTTCGGCTTTGATGACAAGCTCTTCATCTGAAAGAAAGGACTCAGAGTCACACCTGTCAACAGCTGTCTCATGGCAACTGCCGGTAATCCTACCCAGCTCCGGCAGACTGCTCGGAGCTCTCAATTGGCTCAGACAGGAAGCTCAGTGGAGGTCTGAGATAATCATCAAGGCATGTATAGTCCCTGCGGCAAATCATCAGAGGGCTCGCGGCTGCGCCTCTTCAATGCTCCCTGCTTGGAAAAGGAGAAACCCCGGCATCCACCTTTGCCAGCACGCCTCATTCGGTTTCTCCTCTGCTCCAGGGCTCTGATTCTGTTGCCCTTTGTGACAAGGCCTAAAATTACGCATTCACCCACTCCTACTCCCCTTCAGTCTGCCAGAGAAACCCTTCCTGTCAGCTCTTCCTACTTGCCCTGAAAATCGAGTCCGTGTTTCTGCCTCTGCTCTCTGCTCAGTCTGCCCTCCCTTTCGTAGCCTGCATCCCTTTCTTCCCATCTTCCCAAGGTATGCCCAACCTTGTCACACCAATCTTGCAGGGCCCAATTCTGGCTTCACAGCCTGCTGTGGGCCTTATCTAGACACCCCAACTAAAACCGACATACGTTCTCCAAACTCCTCATTTCCTTTATAGAAGTCATCCGTCCCACTCACCCTGGACACTTAACAGTAGGCACGCCCAGGACTGATGTGCGTGTGCCCGATATAAATATCCTGAGGAGCAGAAACGGCTATTTTTTATTTCTGTTTCCTAGAGTCTAAAAGAACATAGAGAATAGAAGATATTTAAAAATAGGTTGCATTAAGTCATATAAATGACTGGGTTCCTTCTGGCCTTGAGGTTCTCTTCTACAATTCAGATGGCAAAATATAGATGGTGCTAAGGATCTTGGAAAGAAGCTATTTGCTTCTTCTGCCATCACTGTTTGTCCTGAGGGAGAGTTCTTGGTCGACATTTGTGCCTCTCCAAGGACACTCTTGTCGCTACAGCTAGTCTCCTCCCATTTTTGTTCTATGCTTTTCTAAATGATCCTCAAATATTCTTCTGTCTTTCCCCATCCTCATAACTTTGGTCCCTCTGTGTGCACTTGTTTTTCTTCCTCTAACAAATCTACTTTGTCTTTATACTTAAAAGTGTTTTCTCACTTAAAATATATCTTAGTTTGATTTCATTTTCATCTCTAACTTATGTGAGCCTGTCTTTTCCCCCCTTTCCCCATTCTTCTTCCACTTCCTTGCCTCCATAACCCCCTCCTGTCCGCGGCTTCATCGGTCGGTCCTAGCTTAAGCGGAGGCTGGGTGTGGGCATCTCTGATTCCTCACTCACCAGCATAGGCGCCCTTGTGCATGTCGCTCTCCTTGGTCTCCTGTGGGGCCCCAACCTGGGGCTCTTCCTCTTGTTTGATCCAAGACAGAATATCTGATGTTGAAATTCCAGGCTCTATTTGGAGGAAAAAGAGAATGGCTCTCAGGGCTCGACTCAGAAAGAGAAAATGATCATGTTGGCTTGTTGAACACTGTCTTGCCCAAATATTTATCTCTGATTACAAAACCAAAACTGAACCAGCCTTTAAAAAAAGGCATACATCTGAGAACCAGTTCAAAATGAAGCCAGATTTAATGTATTTTTACTTGATATACTCAACTTCAGTGACTGTTTTCATTTTAAAACAAATCACAGTTTTTATTTTGGAGAGGATGCCCTGACATGCATCTAGAATTAGCGGTGCCTTTCATTTTGTTAGCACTCTCACTTCCAAGATGTTTTTACTTTCTCTCACATCTTTGTTTATGAAATAATGAAGCAGGGACTCTTTTCTCCATTTCAGTAGAGAGGGACTATTTTCTCCATTTCAGAGGTTAAATACATTGTCAGTAAGGAAGTATTTATGATGAAACTCCATTATTATCAAAGGTCTGCTTTAAAATATAGCAGGAAAAAAGCAGAAGAAACCAAGATTGACCAAAAAAATTTTTCGTAGATGTTAATTAAAAAACAAAGACATCCCCAGAATTACAAAGTCATGTCCGTTTAAACACAGACCTGACTCCTTGGAAACATACTTTTCAGGTTCCCAATTTTGGGCTCTAAAAGATCATATTACTTGTGCTTATTAAATGATACAGCTCATTGTTTCCTGAACCCCCAGGAGAGGAGAGAACAGTCTTTGTGAGTCCCTCAGGCCTGGCGGCGGGGGGCGGGGGGAAGTTCTTTCGGAAAGAAAAAAGAACAGCCTCTCAAGGCTTTGCACATAACATGGCTCATTTGGTCAGTGTAGAAACACATGTGCGAGCTATCCCAGCCAAGGCCTAGGTAGCCTTTTTTTGACCTAAGAGGACAAGCTGGTAAGCTGACAAGGTGCGGAGACTAAATTCAAATTGTAGGCAGGTTCTGGTTTTATGTGTAGCAGATAGGCAGAACTCACTGTTTTTGCCCAATGCCTTTTAAATCAGTGAGAGACCACTGAAGTCTAAAGGTGTGCCCAAAGCAGAAATATGAGGTTTGACAAGACTGAGGCCCGAAAGACTGGCAGGTTGTGCAGCGAGACTGGGGAGACACAGGTTTTGGCACACGCGGCAGGTTGCCTTACCAACTCCTGACTTTAAACTACAGGATGAAATATATTAAACATAGTCCAACCTTTTCTTTCTTTTCTCCCAGATTTTATACTCACACATATATAAAGAGAACATATAAGGAGGGGACAGACTGGGTTTGAGGAAAAGGATCTTCTCGCAGATATCCAGAGGAGGAACTTTCTATTCATTAAAACTATGAGACTTTTAAAATGCATAATTGATTCTCTTCATTAATTTTCTGAATGAGTTAGTGCTCTAGAAACCTCCAAATGTCATTCAAATGACTTTTTTTTTTTTTTTTGGTTTAGCATTATGAACTCATAGAATGTATATCTATCTGATGAGTTTCAGTCCATTGCTCAAATTGTCCCTTCTTTGGCCAGCAGGAGCCCCTTCAGAGCAGCTCTGTCTTTTCACATCATCAAACATGTAGTTTCCTTCATTTCTGGTGTGACAGACTATCCCAGGCTCATCCTGTACATTTCCTGCTCCATGCACACAATCACTGATCTGAGAAATGGAATTTAGGGAATGCAATCTGGATGATAAGGATGCTAACTGCTCATAGGTTGTTGTTGCTTCTAGCTCCTTTCCATGGACAGAGCTATTAAAATACATATCTTTTAGAAAAAGTGTCATGAGTTTATATTAATATTTATGATTCATATTTAAGATTACAGGGTTTTAATTAAGTCCTTTGATTTTATCCTTGTGTCTTTTCTCCCTAACCCTGAAAATTTTGGTTCCTGATGACATTAACATAATCTTTGCTTTATCTGAATACTTGTGTCAAAATAATACCAATATTATAAACAAAAATATGAACTCAATTTAAGAGTATTTTGTGATTCTTTCAGTCTTCAGGATCTATCCCTTTAGGGATATATAGTTAAAATATTGTTTTAGTCAGTTGGAAGAAATCTATTCTATGTATTTATGTTACACATATATCATACAGTAATTATTTCAGCCTGTGCCTGATTTTTAAAAATTTTTGTTTTTTATTTTTAATTTTTTATTTTTTTAAAGATTTTATTTGAGAGAGAGAGAATGAGAGACAGAGAGCACGAGAGGGAAGAGGGTCAGAGGCAGAAGCATACCCCCCGCTGAGCAGGGAGCCCGATGTGGGACTCAATCCCGGGACTCCAGGATCAGTCACTTAACCAACTGAGCCACCCAGGCGCCCCTAAAAATTTTCGTTTTTTAAATTTTGTAAAATATTTATAAGGTTCCGAAATCAAAACTATAAAATAAGATACATTCAGAGACGACTAGTTTCCATCTCAAATCTATCTCTCCTTGTATAGGTAGCCACTCTTACTGGTTTTTAATTTTCCATTGATCTTTGTAAAAATAGAAGCAAATATATATATACACCTTCATGTTTTTCCTCTTTGTACGGCATACTACTCAAACCATTCTGTATCCCAGTTTCTTACTTGACAATATATTCCGGGCATGAGTCTAGCAGCATAGCGATCTTTCTCATTCCTTTTTATAGCCGCACTATGTAGCGGTACCATTATTTATTTATTCAAGAGTGCCCTATTGATGGGTATTTGGATTCTTTCCAATCTTTGTTACATTAGTCAGCAGCCAACCATAAAAGCTATGGAACAGTAAAAAAATAACCCAGTTCTCCAGAAATGTAAATGGCTGTTGTTATTAGAACCCACTGGCTAAGTATGACTTCACTGAACTTGGGAAATCCCAGGAAGCTAACCCTTCCTGTTGAATAATGATGCTAAAAGTTCCTCTGGTCATTTCACTACATCAGTACAGCTAAGGAAATATTGATTTGATTAAATAATTGGGGCTTGGCACTACGTCATAGAATGCACAGCATACTGCAGTGTCTACTGTAATTTGGTGGGAGTGGTGGGAGGATAGCCTGAGGACCTTTTGGAAGTGAAATGAAAGGAGCAGGAGAACTTGAATACTGTGATGGCCTGATACAGACCCCTGCATGGTGACAGAAAATGGCAACTGCTGGTCAGGACAACACAACAGCTTTCAAAGCACATCCCTCACAGGCCTAAGGAACCCCAACAGTGGATACTTACAGAAACATAGAATGAAAGTAAAATCATGGGTTCCTACCAGCAGCAGGCTTTGGAGAAAGCCAGAGAATAGAAAAAAACTGAATACTAATCAGAGAGGAGGAAATGGAAAAATGCTGAGGTTCTAGATTTGAGAGGAAGTTAAAAATAGAAAAGCTGAGGGGTGCCTGGGTGGCTCAGTCGGTTGAGCTTCTGACTCGGTTTTGGCTCAGGTCATGACCTCAGGGTCATGAGATCAAGCCTTGCGTAGGGCTCTGCACTCAGCAGGAAGTCTGCTTGAGATTTTCTCCCTCTGCCCCTTCCCCTGCTCGAGCTTCCTCTCTAAAATAAATAAAAATCTTAAAAAAAAAATAGAAAAGCTGATCACAAGAAAATATAAAAGTTTAATGTCTACACTGGTTGAATGTCATTTTAACTATGAGGAAATCTGATTTTGTGTGTGTGTGTCTGTGTATGTTTTAAACAGGTAAGGACCCATGCTGTCTGAAAAGAAGCTGGAACCTTGAGGTTCTGGGATATGTACAAAGGTACAAACTGAGTTAAAATGGTGCTGAGATTGGACTTTTTAAGCAGACAACAAACAATACTTGACACATGAAACAACCAGTGGTAAAAATATAAAAACTTTCTTTTGAAATTTTCTGTGAAACAGGTGTGGGACTAAAACATTGCCAGGTGAATCTGTTAAGTATTTGTGTAGTGAGTTAAAACCTCAAAGTTTTGTCATTCCCAGGATGATTCTTGTTTTCAAATAGGATAAACTAAAATAAAAGGATTATCATATTGGGATATGCCTTAATCACTGGCTTTGTTTAGGAAAAGAAGGCCTTGCTGGACCAGAGTGAACAGACGCAAATAAGGGATCATGGAAATGCACATGAAACAATGATCCCAAAGTCTCCCCACGACTGCAAGATTTAGAAATGAATTTGCTTTACTTCCGGGTCATTCTACAATCTTTTTTTTTTTTTTTTTTAAAGATTTTATTTATTTATTTATTTCAGAGAGAGAGAGAATGAGAGATAGAAAGCACAAGAGGGAAGAGGGTCAGAGGGAGAAGCAGACTCCCCGCCGAGCAGGAAGCCCGATGCGGGACTCGATCCCGGGACTCCAGGATCATGACCTGAGCCGAAGGCAGTCGCCCAACCAACTGAGCCACCCAGGCACCCACGGGTCATTCTACAATCTTGGCGTGAGTTTATGGCTTCTGAACCAGAAGAAAGACAAAGATAATGGGATTTCAGTAATTATTCCATTAGAACTTCCTGGGTCAAGTTTTTCTCCAAAGAATTCTAAAAACTTGGTAGTTCAATATTCAAACTATAAGTGATCAAACAGTGGCCCCACACACAGCTGGTCTGCACGAGGCCCTGGTGATACAGTTAAAGAAGAATTCCAGGGGTGCCTGGGTGGCTCAGTCGTTGGGTGTCTGCCTTTGGCTCAGGTCATGATCCCAGGGTCCTGGGATTGAGCCCCGCATCGGGCTCCCTGCTCCGCGGGAGGCCTGCTTCTCCCTCTCCCACTCCCCTGCTTGTGTTCCCTCTCTCGCTGTGTCTCTCTCTGTCAAATAAATAAATAAAATCTTTAAAAAAAAGAATTCCAGAAAAATCTCAAGATTATATTTTTTTGTGTTCTCCCATTCACTACTATTCTCCACTAATTGTATGCAATTTTATCTAAGACAGTAGGCATCAATGACTATTCCCTAGGGAGATATAATAATTTTTCTTTCCCTTCATCTGATTCAGATGATGGGGATAGAGATAGAATGTAAAATTAATTCCAAGATACTTGGACATAAAAGGAAAGGGGTGTCACATGGTACCATTACTATGCTCAAATCCATTCTACCCATTCTACCTATATATTGAATTATAATGCACAGCTCTTCTAAAGCTCCAGAATGAAATATGAGAATAGATTATGGACTTTATGTTATAAGAAATATGGATAAAATCCAAATGTATTTTAAGAAAATTAAGGTTTCTAAAATTATATCAATATTCCAACATAAACACACCAGTCTAACAACAAATTACACAGTATGTGAAAATTGATTTTTTAAAACTATGATGTTTTAGAGAAGCTGCTTGCTGAAAAAAAAAAATTGATTCTTTGCGTATAGAAACTACTTTTTTAAAAAATTTTGTGTCTTACCTTTTTTCTTTCCTATTATTATTATTATTTTTAAGATTCTATTTATCTATTTGACAGAGAGAGAGAGACAGCGAGAGAGGGAACACAAGCAGGCGAGCACAAGCTGGGGGAGCGGCAGGCAGAGGGAGAGGGAAAAGCAGACTCCGCGCTGAGCGGGGAGCCCAACGTGGGGCTCAATCCCAGGACCCTGGGATCATGACCTGAGCCAAAGGTAGACACTTAACCGACTGAGCCACCCAGGTGCCCCTCCCCGACACATTCTTAAAAAATAATACGTGTGGGGGTGCTTCTCCCTCTCCCGCTCCCCCTGCTTGTGCTCTCTGTCAAATAAATAAATTTTAGGGTGCCTGGGTGGCTCAGTTGGTTAAGCGACTGCCTTCGGCTCAGGTCATGATCCTGGAGTCCCGGGATCGAGTCCCACATCGGGCTCCGTGCTCGGCAGGGAGTCTGCTTCTCCCTCTGATCCTCTTCCCTCTCGTGCTATCTCTCATTCTCTCTCTCTCAAATAAATAAATAAAATCTTTAAAAATAAATAAATAAATTTTAAAAATCTTAAAAAAAAAATGTGTGGCAGATACATGCATTCCTCCAAAGTCAGAGAATGTTAAGATCTGAAAGGTTCACTATATGTAAAATTTACCTCAAAAAAAAAAATAGTGAACTCTAGGTTAATGATATTCATGCTGAACTATTAATGGGGAAATGTATTAATGTCTTTATTGCTTTGGAAATATAATGAAAAGAGGATGGATTGACAGGGATGCAGAGATGGATAAATATGTGCTAACGGAGTAAAATATTAGTGGTAGAATCCAGGTAGTAGGTATCTAGGTGTTCACTGTAAAATTATTTCAACTTTTCTGTTTGGAAATTTTCATAATAAAATGTTAGAAAAAAAATAACAGTGTACAGGAGAGGAGGTAGGTTGTAAGAAAAGTTCATCTAATAGAGACGTCTGAAGGATGAACTTTCTGTGAGCTTTCTATCCAGCAAAGAACAAAATGATGAGCTTTTTCTGAGAGTAGAGGTGGGACTGCAGAGAAAATACAACTGGACTTGGGTGAGCAGTCCTTCCCACACTATATGAAGCAGCTACCAACCAAATAAATGAGGGAGAGTTCATTAATGCTGGCTGGCTCCCAAACCAGGCAAAATCCGCTTGGCCCAGGTGGACATCCTTGGGCTCTGCTGGTTCAGTGCGTCTCTGAGGGACCGTGAGGACTCCCAGCCCACCCCCAGCATTTCTGAACAACCAGGTGTACACTCACTGAAGCCACTTCCCCTCATATGAGCATAACTGCTTCCCCTGCCATCTAAGGACATGTTTATTTTATTAAATAATTAAGTCTCATAACTTTGTCATGAAATACCGTTAACAGCCCTCAAATTCGTGGTACTGACGGAAGAAGGCAAAGGACCAGCAATCTCTAAGTACTCTCTCCTAGCTGCTTTAGCATGGAGAGGCTCTGGAAGCCCCAAGCCCTGCTTACTCAGTTCTGAGCCACTGTCTCTGACCAGGAAAGGGAGACAAGGAGTGGATAATCTCTTCTGCTACTTACCTTCACTGGGGTCTGTGGGAATCTCATTTTCCTCTGGTCCTGCCTGCTCCTCTGTATTATGTTCTCCTTCCGGCTGAATCTGAGATAAGACATCAGGTTGATTCATGGCATAATCTAGGAGAGGAAGAAGGGAAAGGGGGGATGACCAAGAGATCAATGAGGATGACAATGAATTGCCATCAAGGCTTAGCTATAGGCTTTGAGGTCCACGGTCCCAGGGGGTTCTTTTCAGAATCTCTATCACTTGGGTCCATCCATTCACCTCCTGGATGGACGCTACCTCTTCGGAAAGCACCTAAGAGGAGAGGTAACATGTGGGAAGGCACACATGCCTCGTTAGCACTGCTCGCCTGCTATTTTCACCGAGGGCCAGGGACAGTGTGCCTCAAGGTGGAGAACAAGGCCCTTTCAAGGTGAAGGACACCCATGGAAACCACCCTGCCGGCCCAGCCAGAACTCTGAGCTGCATTCTCTGTCCTGCAAATTGGTAGAAGGAGAGATTATGATTTTCCATTTAGCAAGGGCAAACTGGAAATCTTTGGTTTGGGATCAGAATGTGAGGTGTGTGAGGACAGAGTGAAAATGAGGACTGCTGGAGGACAAGGGCCTGTGCAAAGTCCCCTTAGTGCTGCGGTCACCTCATTCAAAAGGTGACAGCGTGGCCTCACCCATGGAGATGAGAGACTCGTAGTTGCCCTTCATGATATTCTTGTAAAGTTCCTTTTGCCATTCTTCTAATTTTTCCCACTCCGGAGTGGAAAAGTAGATGGAGATATCATCAAATGTCACAGGCACCTGAAATTGTAATCACACTGGGGTTAGTCCCTCCCGCTGCAATTCAGTCATTCAGGTTATCTGCGTACCTACTTGTCCCAAAAAACTGTGTGAGTTGCTGGAAGGACATAGGAAAAACTTAAGGCACAGATCCAACCTCCAGGAGTAGAAGATGTTTTCAGGGAGAATGGTAATAAACTTTAGGGCTCCGAGTTTGGGGAGATTGGAGGATATTACTTGCAAACAGTCCCTCAGAGATAGGCACAAATGCAAAGCAGTATTTAATTCACATAATACAACATATTCTGACTATCCACTAAGTACAAGGCTTATACAATTATCAAGATTATAAAAAAATGGTTTGTGCCCAAAATAAGCACATAATTATATTCAAATTAAAGACGTGGACCAGAAATTTTGGATACCAAGCTATAATGGGGCTGGGATGAGTCTAGAAGAGGTGGGGCTCTGGCTAGTCCTAAAAGACAGACAGGCTTGATGGGAACAGGAAAACATGTAAGCACAGAAGACTGGAGAGTACTTTCAGAGGAGAATTCTGAAGCCTGCCTAGTTGGAATTCAGGCTTCGTGTAGAGAATGGTCATATGCAGAACAGAATCCCCCGACCCTCCAGCACAGCTTTGTCTAAAGCTAGGTACTTTTCCCTGGGCAAAAACTAGAAGGTTCTTCTGTAAAGAAATACAAGAGTTGCCTCCCCAGGTACCTAGTATGGACACTATCACCTAGTATGATGCTCTCCTCATTCTGGTGTTTAGCTGCTCATCATCATAAGGCTGGCTCACCCTCCTATCACTGGACAGCTTTCTATAGTTAAACTCTTAAATAAGAGCTAAGCACTAAGTCTCAATGACCAGTTAGAAAAGACTGCCACATGAACAATAAAGACTGAAATGAGGGAGGAGGGATGCCTGGGTGGCTCAGTTGGTTAAATGTCTGCCTTCGGCTCAGGTCATGATCCCAGGGTCCTGGGATCAAGTCCTGCATCGGGCTCCTTGCTCAGCAGGAAGCCTGCTTCTCCCTCTGCCTACTGCTTGTGCTCTCTCTCTCTCTGACAAATAAATAAAATATTTTTAAAAATAAATAAAATGAGGGAGGAAAATGTGTAAAGAACAAAAATACCGGGACGCCTGGGTGGCTCAGTTGGTTAAGCGACTGCCTTCAGCTCAGGTCATGATCCTGGAGTCCCAGGATCGAGTCCCACATCGGCCTCCCTGCTCAGCAGGGAGTCTGCTTCTCCCTCGGACCCTCCCCCCTCTCATGCTCTCTTTCTCTATCTCATTCTCTCTCTCAGATAAATAAATAAAATCTTTAAAGAAGATTTAAAAAAAAAAAAAGAACAAAAATACCCAGGCAACATAATTTAAAAAACAAAACCATACCACCACCACCTCCTAATTAGTATCCCCACAAAGATTTAAGAGATATAACACCACCCATAAAATAAAACAGGATGCTATGAAAAAAGAAAAATCAGAGAACAAGAAAGACTCTTGGTAACTACTATATACACACACACACACACTCTTTCTCCCAAAATTAAAAAATTCAATAAAAAGAATACATACTTGGGGCACCTGGGTGGCTCAGTCGGTTAAGTGTCTGCCTTTGGCTCAGGTCATGATCCCATCGAGTCCCACATCGGGCTCCCTGCTCATAGGGAGCCTGCTTCTCCCTCTCCCTATGCTGCTCCCCCTGCTTGTTCTCTCTCACTCTCTCAAATAAATAAAATCTTAAAAAATACATACTCATCTTCATAAACTTAACATACCCGTTAAGAAACAAAGGTCTATACAAGACTATGAGGTAACTGGCTTTATTTTCCAATTGCTTCATTTGTGGAATTTCTTTTGCCCCCAACTAGAAATTTTGTTCTTAGGGACTAGAACTATAATTATTCACTTTACACTTTGCTCAGCATCTAAAGCCAGGGTGGGAACAAGTGTAGATACTCAATAGCATATTTTCTTTTCTTTTCTTTTTTAAAGATTTTATTTATTTATTGGACAGAACGAGAGAGCAGGAGAGCACAAGCAGTGGAAGCGGCAGAGGGAGAGGGAGAAGCAGGCCCCCTGCCGAGCAGGGAGTCCGATGCGGGGTTTGATCCCAGGATCCTGGGATCATGACCTGAGCCAAAGGCAGTCACTTAACCAACTGAGCCACCCAGGCACCCCTCAATAGCATATTTTCATCTAACATCATTACACAAGAGATCTGTGATATGTTACAAGAGAAACACATATGATAAAATAGTGATAAAAATAAAGGAGGATGGGCTTCTGGGTCAAGACTATGAACTAAGTATATATGTATTTCCTTTCCCTCCCAGAGTGCTACTGAAATGCCAGTAAATAAAATCAGCAGGGACTAAACCTAAAGCAGTGCCAAGAATGGGGAGCAGCCATCACTGGACCAGAGTTTTTGATGAGCTTCTCAGTGAGACACAGAGGGCCCAGGGTACGTGAGGAAGCTGCAGCTCTGCGACCACGCACAGGACTACAGGACTACAGTTGAGGAATCCAGAGAATTCCAAGCTCAAAGCTGGCAGAGACATGGAGTAGGAATAAAAGTGATTATAGACTGCAGTTTGAAGGTCTGTCTTCAGAACAGCAGGGATCCCTCCACACTCTTCTCAGCAGGCCTGGCCAAGCGACTAAGCAGCAGCATTGACCCCAAAGCCAACACCGCAGACATCACCTCTAAGGAAATGGAACAGCCTCCCTGGAGACGGCATGCGGTCCCAGGGTGGTTGTTGACAACACAGCACTGCCTTACTCCTGGCCTCTGGGTGGCCCCTGCACTCCCTATTTGCTCCTTGCCACAGCACCTCAAAGTGAAGCCCACCTAGATCTAGCATCAGTGGAGACAGCTCTCTCCTGTAAAGGAAAGATCTTTTGGCTAAACAGACTCACATGGGGGCGCCTGGATGGCTCAGTCGGTTAAGCGTCTGTCTTCGACTCAGGTCATGATCTCAGGGTCCTGGGATCAAGCCCCATGTTGGGCTCCTTGCTTAGCAGGGAGCCTGCTTCTCCCTCTCCCTCTGCCCCCCAACCCCCGCTCCTGCTCTCTATCTCTCTCTCAAATAAATAAAATCTTTAAAAAATCGTGGTAAAATAAATACAACATAAAATTTACCATTTTAGCCATGTTTAATAGTTTAGCGGCATGAAGTCCATTCACATTACTGTGTGACCATCACCACTGTCCATCTCCAGAACATCCCAAACTGAAACTCTGTCCCCATGAAACACTCACCCCAGCCCTCCTGTCCCAGCCCCTGGCACCCACCATTCTGCTTTCTGTCTCTGTAAATTTGACTATTCTGGGGACCTCATATAAGTGAAATCTTTGTCCTTTCGTGACTGGCTTATTTCACTTAGCATAACACCCTTCCAGGTTCACCCATGTTAGAGTGTGTCAGCATTTCCTTTTTAAGGCTGAATAATATTCCGTTTCTCTCAGAACTTTAATGGCATTCGTCCTTTGTCTTGTAACATCAAATGCCATTGATGAAAACCTTAGGGCCAACTCAATTCCAAATTAATATTTTGGTATTCCAAAGAAATACCAAATCCATTTGTAAGAAGTCTATTTTCTTCTCTCTAGAAGTTTTCATCTTCCATTTGTACTTGTTTTTCTAAAAGGTGTTGAGGTTGTGTCTGAGGTAAGTCTTTTAATATTTGTGTCAGATGCTTGGTATGAGCTTTCAGTCAGAAAATGGGTGTCTTTCCAGCTCTGGGACCTTTTCTTCCATAATTCTACTTTTACAATATTTCATCCCCATTTCTCCTTTTCTTGCTGGAAAGATGGATCATCATCTTTGTCTCTAACTTTCCCTTCTTGTTATTCACCTTTTTAGAGTTCCCTGACCTTTCTTTCCAGCCTTTCTCATTTTTATTTTAATAATTTAATTTTCAAGAATATTTATTTCTAGCTCCTTTTCTTGAAGCAGCCTGAATTTTTTCAAATGGATCAATATCTGAATTTCTCTGGGAATATGTATTAGAGGTTTGTCTGTTAGTTCACTGTGTTTTTTTTCTTCTAGGATTGTAGTTTGTAGTAGTTTCTTCTAGTTTCTAGTGTTTGTTCATCCTGGTGTTGTAATTTTTTTTTAATACTGAGTAATGCTAGGTTATATATTCATAAGTGAAGGATTTGACTGATTATTAGGTTAATTTTAGGAAGCTGGCCTGTTTTCTCTGCCACCATGTGCATCTATTTAAAAGGGTTTTTTAAAAAGATTTTATTTATTTGAGGGAGAGAGAGAGACAGAGCATGCATGAGTGGGGTTACGGACAGAGGAAGAGGGAGAAGCAGACTCCCCACTAAGCAGGGAGCCTGATGTGGGACTCGATCCCAGACCCCAGGATCATGACCTGAGCCAAAGGCAGACGCTTAACCAACTGAGCCATCCCGGTGCCCCAATTTTACCACAACTTTAAAAACTGAAACTAATAAGAAAACTGTGGGGAAATTATTCTGAACTTGGCCCTCAAAAGTAAGGACAGAATAAGAGCATTTTCAACAAAATCACAAATTTACTTCCCATATTTAAAGCTAGTATATCTTCAGTATATTCTAATTTCAAGAAGAAATCTTTAAGAAAAATCATATTATTTTATATACGATTTTGCAGTTTAAGATGGAGAATTTACTTTTTTTTTTTTTTAAGAATTTATTTATTTGGGGAGGGAGGGGCAGAGGGACATTTAAACTCCTGGGGCGCCTGGGTGGCGCATGACCTGGGCCAAAACCAAGTCGTGTGCCACCCAGGCGCCCCAGGAGTTTAAATGCACCCCAAGAGTTTAAATGTTATTCATGTATCCAGGTAAGACAATGGATACACACTTTAATTTACCTTTTCTGCTAATTTTATGGCAAATACTAAGTCTAAATTATCCCACAGAACTCCAGGAGAGGCTGCAGACACACAAGTGAAATATACTGGGGAAGGTTCTCTGTCAGATGTGGACTAACGTCCCTCCCTGTGATCCTGGACAGAGATGTCGGTCATTGTTCTCTCTTCCCACTCACTCTTCAACCTGCCCCCTTTCAGATTTCTATCCCCCACCCCCACCCCCCGACACACATGCATGGGGCCAAGAGAACTCTTGGCAAGGTCACCGGCTAGGTCTGTGTTGCCAAATCATACTCTGTCCTCATCTTTCTAGACCTCTCAGTAACACGCAACCCAAACGACAACTCTCTCCTTCAGTGCTTTTTCTCCTTGACCTCTGACCCCACATGCCTTCCCATCTTGTTCCCACCTCAATGGCCACTCCTTTTCAGCCTCCTTTGCTGGCCCTGCCTGCTCCTGGAGCATGATCCTTGGGCTCTTCCTCCTGTTTCTCCACTTTCTCTCCTGAGGCAATGACTTCCAGTCTCATGACTTAACAATATGACCTGTGCACCAGTGACTGCCAGATACTACTCATCTTTGAGCTGCAGACACCACTTAACATCTCTCCTAAATGTGTCACAGGCATCTCAAACCTAATACTGCCAAAAGAGAAGTCCTCATTCCTTCCCACTCCTCAAGACACTCCCTATCTCAGTAAATGCCACCACCATCCATCTGGTTCTTCAAGCCAAAAGCCTAACCGTCAGTAAACCTAAGGTGGGTAAGAGCATATGCTCTGGAGCCAAATGGGTTATGATACCACTCTATTATTTGTATTTCCAAACTATATGATCTTGAGCGAGTTAGGGTTCTTTTTTTTTTTTTAAGTTTATTTTAAAGATTTTATTTATTTATTTATTTGGCAGAGAGAGAGAGAGAGAGAACACAAGCAGGGGGAGTGGCAGGCAGAGGACAGGGAGAAGCAGCCCAATGTGGGGCTCGATCCCAGGCCCCTGGGATCATGACCTGAGCTGAAGGCAGCTGCTTAACTGACTAAGCCACCCTGGCGCCCTCAGGGTTCTTATGAAAATAACCAAAGAACAACAAGTTCTAAGTGCGTTATCATACAGTAAATTTACAATGATCACTGTTCTTCGTTCCTCATTCCCTAATTCCCGTCAGTGACTCCTACCCATCAATTCCACCCAACGTCCTGAATCTGTCCACTGTCCGTCTCCTCCACTGCTACCCTCACCCAAGCCACTCTCATCCCTCCCACTGTTACAGCTGCCTACTGGTTCTCCCTGCTTCTGTTCTTACCACCTGGACCCGTCCTCCACAAAGCAGCCAAAGCGATTCGTTCAAAATATAAACCAGATAGAACTCCTCTGCTTAAAACCTTCCATTTCTTTCCATTACACCCAAGATAAAACCAATTCCTTACCTTGGTCTCCAGACCCCTGTATCAGTGACTCACAGTCCCAATTGCATATCAGACTCTACTATAGAGCTGTAAGAATTATTAATGTTGGGGCGCCTGGGTGGCTGTCAGTTAAGTGTCTGCCTTCAGCTCAGTTCATGATCCCAGAGTTCCGGGATCGAGCCCTGAATTGGGTTCCCTGCTCAGCGGGGAGTCTGCTTTTCCCTCACCCCCACCACCCCCGCCTCATGCTTGCATGCTCTCTCTGAAATAAATAAAATCTTAAAAAAAAAAACCAACCAAAAAGAATTATTAATGTTTAGGCCCCGTCCGGGACCCACTAAGTCAGAATTTCTAGCTCTGATGTCCACCAAAATGTAAAAAGTCAGGGCTGAAAAACACTGCCCTGAATGACCTGTCTCCTACCCACTTCTGCAGGCATATGCCTATCTATTCACCACACACCACTAATGGGCCCTTCTCCTTGCCCTGAGTGCTGCATGTTTGTTTGTGTCTTCAGGACTTTGCACTGGGCATTCTCTCCGCCTAGAAAACTCTTCCTCAGATCTTCTCACAGCTGGGTCCTTCCTGTCATTCAATCTCAGCCTAAATATTAGCGCCTTTCTGATAGCTTCTCTGAAATCCCATCTAAAATAAATCACCAAATAGCACTTTTATTTTAATCTACGCACTTACATGAATTTATTTTGTATGTTTATATTATCTTTCTTTCTCCACTAAAATTTAAGCTCCAGGGAAGCCTGTATGAATTGTTCAATGCTGTGCCTTCAGGATATAGATATGGAGCAAACAGTATGTGCCCAAGGAAACTAGCTGCCTCAAGGCTGTACTCCAGCACTTAAGAAGGATGTTTATCTTCTTTTAGTTCATGGGCTACTCCCTCCAGCAGAGCCGGTCCCTAGCACCACAGCACACTTCTATAAAGGATGCTGAGGGACAGGAACATGTCAATCCTGGATCTACAGAGCCCCAAACCCTTCTATTAACCCTTTACTCTACGGCTCGTCCCTTGTCCTCCTCTTTTTCACCAGAACTACCAAAAGATTCAAATAGGCTGATTTAAATGATATTTAATTTAGTTTCCACACGAAGATTGAAGCAAGCAGGTTAACAAAGAAAAAAGTGACTTGGAGGCAAAGGGTAGGAAAAAGCATAAGAGGAAAAAATCTATCTGCCAGGTAGTCAACTTTGAACTGGAGTTTTCCAATCTTAAGTTTGACACTTCAGTATATGTGCTGCCGAAGCGAGCACTTAAGTTTGACACTTCAAATCATCACTAAATTGAACATGAAATGCTTCCCAAATGGATAAACAAAAATATACCTTCATCTTTCCTTTAGCCTGATTGGCCAACACCCATCCCTTCCTCCTCGTCTAAGGACTAGTGGCACCACTTTCCAGCCAGAAGGGAGGGCATTACCTTTGGGAGATCTCCTTTAATGCCCGGGGGCAGCCGCAGGATCCAGAAGTTCCTGTTCCTCAGCAGGTTCTCCAAGTTCTCCAGTCGCCTCTGCAGCAGCCCGTACTCCTGCAGCAGGGTCCCCAGCACGGCCCACTTGCCCTCGAGCTGGTTCCCAAGATCAGCCACCGTCTTTTCACAGCTGGCTAGCTTCTTCTCTGCTGTCCCCGTCCGTCCTTCTAGGTGTAGGAGTCGCCGGCTGTGGACCTCCACCTTCCTCTCTATCGCCTGCACGGCTGCCACCACGGTCCACAAGGAGATGGCTGCAGTCTGCAGGTGCGCCTCATTTGCTGCTGGCGGCGTGGGAAGAGGAAGGGGCTGCAGGGATGTAAGGCATTCAGAGTCCCATTCAGAAGTCTATATGCAGTGGGGAGATGAGACAAGACATTGAGTGTTGGAAGGAGCCCTAATCCAAACTAAAATCAAAGCAGGACTGGTTAACTGGTTAACCAGCTGAGATGACTCTAAATATAGTTTTCATACTGCCTGCATAAGCTTCATCTTTGTGGAGCTCATCCGCATCAAAAGCCAAGAGAATTGCTTTGGTGGTTCAGAGATGAATTAAGTAAGACAGTGAATGAGTGAAACTGGATAGAGAACCAACCTGGCATATTCCCTGGGATGCTAGGCCCTAGAGCCAGCTGTCCAGGGGCTCAGGTTGCTGCTGTACCCTCTATTTCTGGAAAAGGCCTAAAGTGCATCACATCTTTCCAGGTTTCACTGAACTCACTGCCCTCTGATAAACCCTTTAATGACATATGCTCTGGCCCTGTCCACCACCCTGCTTACAAACCACAACCACACCACTCAGTAATAGTTAATTAAAGCTGAGAATGTTGAGTATGGAGAAAACATGATGGCTATTGTCAAATATCTGATGGCTATAAAACAGAAGGCAGAAAAGACTTGTTTCATATTATACTGCGTTTACTCCAGAGGGCAGAACTAGAACCAACATGGAATTTTCAGGCAGGCAAACCCTGGCCTATATAAATAATTTTTGAAACCAGATCTCTCCAAGAAAATAACAGGTTGCCTCGTCACTGAAAATGCTGCGAAACAAAAAGTGTATTAAAAAAAATTCTGACAACAAATAGGAGGTTGGACCAGAATGACCTCTACAAAGCCTTCCAACTCCATGAATCTGATAATGCCCTCCCTGGCCACAACCTCTCAACTCTCCAGTTCACCCGCTAAACTTACTCTTCAATCCTACTAAACCCCTGACCATGCCGACCATGCGTTTTGCTCTTGGCTCATTAGCCTGTTCCAGGCTTTGTTTTCTTCCTCAGTTGATCATTTCAACCACCTTCAATCCCTTTCTGTCTCTCTGCCTCACCAGCTCCAGCTTTGAATCTGTCTAATTGTTCTTTCTCTCTTCCTATAAGCAAGCTGGTAAACCCTACTAAAGGAAGTCACACAACAGGGAAAACTGGTGTCACCACACACCAATGGTTTCTAAGCAAAGCAGGAACTCAGTGCTGCCTGGTGCCCCCCCCCCAACAGTGCTTCTCTTCCCATTCCATAAAGTGGCCACTACAAACCCCCAGCACACTCCTTAAACTTTTAGTACAGCGCTTCTCAAACTAATGTGCATAAGAATCATCTGGAGATCTTGTTAAAATGCAGACTTTGATTCAGTAGGTCTGGGAGGAAAACTGTGATTCTCCATTTTGATGCTGATGTTGCTGGTGCTGGCGCAGGGAGCATGCGTGGGGCACTAAGACTCTTGTCCACTGCAGGCTCCCTCAATCTCAGGGGACAACATGGCCTCCTACTTTGAGGAAAAAAATTAGAGTAATGAGACTGAAACTCTCTCAACTTTCTCCTTTTTTTCCACACCCCTTCCCACTTCAAACTCATCAGTAGCTTAACCCATGCTTTCTTCCTTCCCACAGGAAAAAGTTTGATCCTATTTAAAACTAATCTCTCCACGTAAGCTCTGATTGTCAACTCTTTCCACATTTTTAGGGACATTGTTCTTTTCTCTTTTTTACGGTCAGTATTTCAATCTCTCCTGATTCTTCTCTGTAAGAAAGACCTGCACTATTCAATATGGTAGCCACATATGGCTACTGAGCACTTGAAATGTGGTTATTTTTTTTTTATAAAAGATTTTATTTATTTATTTGAGAGAGAGAGAGAATGAGAGAGCAGAAGAGGGAAGAGGGTCAGAGGGAGAAGCAGACTCCCTGCCGAGCAGGGAGCCCGATGCAGGACTCGATCCCGGGACTCCAGGATCATGACCTGAGCCGAAGGCAGTCACTTAACCAACTGAGCCACCCAGGCGCCCGAAATGTGGTTATTTTGATTGGGATGTGCCATAAGTATAAAATACCCACCAGATTTTGCACACTCAGTATGGGGAAAAATGTACAACTTCATTAAGTTCTTAATATTGGTTATGCACTAAAATATTTTGTACACATTGGGTTAAATAAAATATATTGAAATTAATTTCATCGATTTGTCACTTTTTGAATGTGACTACTAGAAAATTTAAAGTTAAATGTGTAGTTTCCATCATATTTCTTAGATAGGACTGGCATTAAAGACAGGATCATCTCTACCACATTGAAAAAAAAAAAAAAAAAAAAACCTCGGAAAAAGGAAAATAGGTCCCAGGACAGAGACTGCATTCCCCTCTGCCCTACTCCCCACCCCACTGCTCCTGTTCCCTCTCTTCCTTCCCTTCTCACTTTCCAGGCACTCCTCAATTGCCCATTCTGGCCCCTGACCCATAAAACGGCTCTCCTTGGGGTGACCAAAGGCTTCTTCGCTGACAAACCCAAAGCATGTTTCAGTCCCATGTTACTGGACCCGTCCCCGTTGGTCCTGCGTGGCTCTCGTGCGCAGGGACTCTCTTGGTCATCTCTGCAGCTATAGCAACTGGGAGAGGGCTTGGCACGCTGCGGGCCTGCGGTAAACCCCCGCGGAATGAATCAACACATGTAAGCTTATCCCATCCTCGGAACCCGCACCCGTCCGTCCTTCAGCAGTCCTGACCGAGGGCCTCCTGCGTGGCGGGCACTGTCAGATACCGGGCACTGGGGAGCCCTGGGCTCACGCGGTCCCTCCTCCCGCCTCGCTGTTACCGTCACCGCCGCATCTGCGGCTGTGCGAGGCTCAGGTGGACTGCACCGAAGGGGATTTTGTGCGGACGGCTCCCGGAGCTGAGAACCGCTGATGCAAAACCCAAGCCGAGCGAACTGCCCTAAGTCTGGCGGGCTGTAGGGGGCTGACACCAAGCGGGAGGAGCCCCTCTTCACTCATTCCTCTTTCATTAGCGGAAGAGGCGCTCTCCGCCACACACGTCCAAATGGGAAGGGGGAGCCCTGGGCCTCGCACCCGAGGCGCGGGGACTTCGCGATGGGGGAGGGGACGCGCCCTCCCAGCCCTGAGCTCGGCGTCGGCGTCCTACCCGGCGCCTCAGGCCCCTCCCCGCCAGCGGGACCCCGGGAGCGCCCGACGCCTGACAGGCCGGGCGTCCCGTCCTGCTCCCCTCCCTCGGGTCCGCGGCGCAGAGCCCGAGGCGCCCACACCGTCCCGGGCTCGCAGCGCTCGGCGCGCGGGCCGCCCTTACCGGAGCCGGGGCCGCCTCGGCCATGGCCCTGCGCTGTGTCCGGCCCGGCCCGGAGTCGCCGGAGTCGCTGCCGCCGCCGCGCGGTCCCACGCAGGCCGGCCCCTGGCCTCTCCGCAGGCGGCGCCCGCCCGGCCCTGCCTTCCCTGCCCGGGCTCGCTTGGGGCGCGGGGACTCAGCGGAGGCACGGCGGCCGGCGGGTGAAGCTGGGTGGCGGGCAGGCTCAGCGGCGCTCGGCCCGCAGCGGCCCCTCAGCTGGCGCTTTGTGGGCACCGAGCGCACCCTGGGAACGGCTCCGGCCTAGACGCGCCGCACGCCCGCGCCGCCCGCGCCGCCCGCGCAGCGCGCCCCCTGCCGGCCCCGGCGGCCACTTCCGCCCCGGCGGCGGTGGTGCGGCGCCCGAGGGTTGTTTTCTCCTTTCCCCCGGAGGCTTTAACAGAGAAGAGCTCAGAGCCCAGCCCCGAACCAGGGCTCTTCCTGGGGAGCGCTTTCTTCCTGAAGGCCCAGTGAGCAGGCACCGCCCGAAGGGAGGCGCTCCGGCGGGAGGGCAGCCCAACTTGGAAAGGCGGCAATGGGCGGGGTGCGAGCGGGCTGGTGCGTTACAACGGGTGGCACAAATCTGTGATGGAGAGACATTCGTCATTTGCAGAAATAGCAAATGTGGCGAACAAGATGAAGCGGCTCGCGTCTCACGTGGCCCGTGTTAGGACCAAAACTGAAATCTGTAGTCGTCTTTACCTCTCGGATTATCGAGGTTGTAGTTTACTGGGTCTATACTAATGGACAGGGGAGAGCCAAGCGGTATCTATGGAGCTTGTGTGTTTCGGGTTGACAAGAGTGTGTGTTACAGTTACGATAACCTCATGACCCTGAGTTTCTAGCTCAGTCCTCATTTCAAACATGCTCAGCATGAATGAAAATCCTCCCAAACCTGTATTTCTACAAATGAATCAAATCAATGTCCATAACCGTCAAAGTAACAAATTACAAAAGTGTGAGGAGCGCACAAGCTATTTTTAGACTAGCTATACCTGTAGTTTGAAGTCGCCGGGAAAAATATTTTGGTCAAATGGTGAATGTTTGATAGTTAAAAATTGCTCTTCTCTAAATGAGAATGTCACCATAACAGAGTGAACTTGTACAAAGAGAAGAAAAAACACGAACTTTCTTGGAAAGGAAATTCATTTTTATGATTTTATCATTAAAAACGTAGTAGTTAAAATGTTAATGTTTGACCTTATAAGGCAAGAACAGTCATTTCTCAGCTCTGGCGACTGCTGGATGCTCTTATGGCCAATAAATAGGTACATTTACATTACTTAATACTTTCAACTGAGCTTCATGGGTAGCAAGGCTACTTCTGTCAGCATAATATGGTAATATTGCCACCAATTTATTGTGTTTCTTCCTCTAATAGGCAATTATTATGGTAAAGACTTTGTTCCTTTTTAATTCTTGACCCTGATAATTTCTTGGGCGATGACAGGATTCCAGTGAAACAATTTCACCGACTGAAGTTTTCTGTACTTTCAAGAAGATGCATATTTTCAGAAGCAGATTTAAGATGGTTGTATTCATATTTGTCATTTCTAATATTCTAGTCTGTTCTTGCCCCACTATACACAATCACTAGAGAAAAATTTGTCCTTAAAGTTTGGATTTAGAAATATGACAATGAAGCAATTTAATTACTTTTCAAGTTAAGAAAATAATCAAAGTTTCCATCTGTAGTAGCTTTCCTTGTATGCACACCAATTTCAGCTTCTTCCCCAGAGAAGAATCAAAGGAAGATCTTTCAGCAGGAATCATTGTGCAGGAAATACACTCTTAAGGCACATCAATTTATTCAGCCTGTTCCAATAAACAAACTGCTTTCTATATAACCAACCATTGGTTATTAGTAAGTTTTGCTACTTTGGTAATGTTCTCTGGGAAATACAAAATTAAGGCCTTATTGATCAGCCTTTGAAAGACATAATAGCTTGTTTAAATATCTTGTATATGTATGTGACAAGACAATTTCACAATCTCTTGTGTATTGTATAACTTGTTATTGGCTGAAGAAAAATTATGGAAGGGGTCTACAATCGTTCTGCTTGCAGCCAGTCATTTCTTATTACATCTTTTTTTCCTTTTCTTTCTTTCTTTTTTTTTTTTGGTGGGCAGCAAAGCAAGGTTTATTGAGCCATAGCAAAGTGATAGTACAAAGCTCCCAAGGAGGGAGGGGACCCGAAGGGGTTGCCCTTTTATTACATCTTTTATTTTATTTTTTTAAAAGATTTTTATTTATTTATTGAGAGAGAGAGCGAGAATGGTAGAGAGAGAGTATGAGAGGGAGGAAGGTCAGAGGGAGAAGCAGACTCCCTGCTGAGCAGGGAGCCCAACACAGGACTCGATCCCGGGACTCCAGGATCATGACCTGAGCCGAAGGCTGTCGCTTAACCAACTGAGCCACCTAGGCACCCTTATTACATCTTTTAAAGCTATAACCATTTTCTGAATATAAAACTGAACAGTGCAAACAAATTACAGTACGTTTGTGCTCACAGCCTTTACCATATTTGTTGTATAGTCAATGATAATTTTGTGCATGTCTTTACTGATTTTATATTCCGTAAATATTTCTCAAAGTCAGATTCACTGTGTGAGACACAAAAATCTTTCTTTCTTTTTTTTTTTAAAGATTTTATTTATTTATTTGAGAGAGAGAGAATGAGAGATAGCACAAGAGGGAAGAGGGTCAGAGGGAGAAGCAGACTCCCCGCCGAGCAGGGAGCCCGATGTGGGACTCGATCCCGGGACTCCAGGATCATGACCCGAGCCGAAGGCAGTCGCTCAACCAACTGAGCCACCCAGGCGCCCTCTTTTTTTTTTTTTTTTAATTTTATTTATTTATTTGACAGAGAGGGAGAGAGAGAGCACAAGCAGGGGGAGAGGCAGGCAGAGGGAGAGGGAGAAGCAGACTCCCTGCTGAGCAGAGAGCCTGATGTGGGGCTCCATCCCAGGATCCTGGGATCATGACCTGAGCTGGAAGCAGATACTTAACTGACTGAGCCATCCAGGTGCCCCAAGAAACTTTCATCAAGTAAGGAAAGTAACCCTTTATGTTGTCAAACCTAAAAACTTAAGGTTGATTCTTCCAACCTTGTGTCCAAACGTCACACCATATACTTTGGGAGCACATTTAACATTTTCATTAACCTTTTTGTGTATAAGAAAATATAAACCAGAAGAAAGTTTTTAGGAATGTTTTCTAGGGGCGCCTGGGTGGCTCAGTCAGTTAACCTGTTGCCTTCAGCTCAGGTCATGATCCTAGGGGCCTGGGATGGAGCCCTCCATCGGGCTCCTTGCTCAACAGGGAACCTGCTTCACCTTCTCCTTCTTGTGCTCTCTGGCTCTATCTCCCTGTCAAATAAATAAGTAAAATCTTAAAAAAAAAAAAAAAGGAATGTTTTCTAAAATAAAACAATATTTAGAATCCATAGCTTTGGCAAATCTCAAAAATTCTTTCTCTTCCACTGCTGAAATGGTATAATTAATCTATTGCAATTATTTCTACAAGCTTTAAAAAGCATTTGTCTTCACAGATACTAAACCATGAGGTATTGCCTTATTAAAAGCATTCTTGAAAAGTTCATTGTTCAGAGAGACAAATGTATTTTGGGCGTTTCGTTTTATCTAAATGTTCTTTTTTTTTAATGCTGTCTCTATACTTTTAAGTAGAGAGTACATGACTCAAAGATGATTTATCATATGTGTTATACATGAGGTTTTTTTGTCTTTGTGAAATTTTGAGGTAGCTGTGTTGACATTCTGCTTTTAATTTATCCTCCTATGTGAAAAATTACAAAATAGGGCTTTTTAAGATTCATAGACTAAATGGAATTAAGTAATTAAACATTAGTTTCTATATATATTTTTTATAAAGTATTTTATTTTATTTTTTTAAGTAAGCTGTATGCCCAGCGTAAGGCTTGAACTCATGACTCTGAGATCAAGAGTCACATGCTCTGCCTACCAAGCCAGCCAGGTGCCCCTCTACAGATTTTATCTAGTGTTATGAATGCAATTGCATCAAAGATTTCTACAGTAATTAGAATTAGGATATAATCGAAACTTTACTCTTTTGCCCTATGGTAGTATTTATATGTTTATAAATACCTGTAGGCTCAAAAAGGATATAATATTCTTCCTAAAGTTACCTGGATAGCATTCTTTCAATATTCACATTAACTGTTAACATCTTTATTTAACTACTTGAAAGTTTTTTTATTACATAGAACCAACATCTTCCATAATCCTCAATAATTATTGCAGCATTTTACTTTTGCAATATTAAAAATACAATCATATATACTTCAAGTGATTGTTAGCAGTTCAACATATAAAGCACATCGTCAAATTTAGCATTTCAAGTTACCAAGTTATCTAGAATTTAGAATACCTACATTTGAAAGTAGATATTCAAATATTAACAATAAATATGAATGAGACGCCATGTTTATGTTATTGAAGATTGATGCACCGATGGGACAGGACAGAAATCTACCCAATCGCACAGCTACTACTCTTGAATAGGTTTAAGAACACCAGCAACGACACTGAGCGAGCATTCAGCTATTCTACTTTGCAATGGTCAGGGCTGGATGGTAGAATTTGGACAAACTCTCAGTCTGAAGCCAAAGGTCAGAGCACCCCCAGTACACGTGCATGTAGCTTTCATCTAGGCACAGGTGAAAGATCTGGCAACTGTGCAGTGATCAGATTACTGTGGTTGTAGATGAAAATTTCCATAATTCCACCCACAACAGATACAAACATGAAATGAAAGTAGCTGTCGTAAGAAGACATAGGAAAGAAAACATTTCTGTGTCTTGGGAGTTTCAGAGAAGGCTTCCTGGAGCACGTGACATGGTAGCTGAACCTTGAAGGAAAAATAGAAGTTATCAGACATCCTGAGAATGGAACACGGTCATTCCAATCATAGTCAACAGCAATGCAAACTCCTAGAGGTGTGGTCAGCACGG